TATTATTTTAAACTACGGTTAAGTTACACGATTAGATTATTTACACAGTTGTAATTGTACTACAGAATAATAAAAACTGACTAAAAGTTACTACAATTGGTAAGTAAAATACAATAATGAAATGAAGGTAAAATTCATTGCAATTGTTGTCGAACTGACGCCTGCCGTTTCTTATGCAAGCCCGTAGTCTTTTTCTCATGTTGGTACGCGTGATGCGGCCAGTTAGTTGTCCTCTGATAGTGTCAGCAGCAGCAATAATTCTTTCTTTCAACTGTGCAAGAGTGTCTATGGGCTCAGCGTACACCAGTAACTTCATGTGCCCCCATAAATAATAGTCACACGGTCTTAAATCTGGGCTCCTCGCTAGCCACGGTGTCGGTCCACCTCGGCCAATCCAGCGACAAGGATATTTCTCGTCCAGCCACTGTCTAACACCCAGACGGAAATGCGCGGGACAGCCATCGTGTTGGTAGATCATCTGCATCCTGATATTCAGAGGCCGGTCTTCGAGATACTCCCAGAGTTCGGATCTCAAAAGGTTTTCATAGGATTTGCCATTCAGGTTGTCAGACAAAAAAACTGCTCCAATTAGATACGTATGAATGATTCCCATCCACACGTTTGCCCAAAATCTTCTTTGATGGGCTCTTGGCTTTGCCATGTGGGGATTTGCCTCTCGTGGGGCCCAATAATGTAAGTTGTGATAATTTGTTGTCCCTTCTCTGTCAAACTTAGACTCGTCGGTCCACAATATTTTAGTTAAATAGTCGTTTTCTTCTTGATCCCGATGAAGCATGTATCGACAAAAATCTATTCTTTTTGCGGGATCTCCTTCTTCTAATACTTGAACCGGTGTATAATGGAAATGGTAAAGTCTCGCCGAATGCAAAACGAACCAAACTTTCCTCTGAGTTGAACCAAGCTGCTTTGCTATAACTCGTGTTGGCGTCGTCGGGTCTCTGCCGTAGCATTCCAGTATTGCCTCTCGATCTTCGTCGTCAAACTACCGAGGTCTACCAGCATCATGACGTCTCTCATGAACCTGTCCACTTTCCTTGACGCGTTGTTACATAACAAATACTCGATGACTCGGTATTCGCCGATTCGAAAAACGGTTTTCGTATTCTCGCGAATTTCCATCACTTAAACCATAACAAAACAGAATATCAGCTTATTCTTCGTTACGGTAACTCGCCATTATTAAAACTGATCAAAAAAGTAAAAGAACGTCCTACCGCATTAGAGGTTGATATTCTACTAACTAACCTAAGCGTTAGTTCCCTTTCCTTGATCCGTCAGCTGTGCCAATTCATAACACACGCAGAGCTTGCTTCCGAGGAGCGACGACAGATTCCGAATACTTAAACCCGAATAACGGCACAGGAGCACAAAAAATAACAAAAAGGGTCGAACCATGAAAGGCTCGGTTTACCTGCTCAGTACAATGAAATGCGCTTAGCGGTCCTTTCTAGCAAAGTAATATTGTTTTGTTAAATGGTTTACTTACTGATATGTTATTATACCATTTTAGAAACCTAATGAAATGAGGAAGTTTTTGCAGTTATTTGTACATTTTCTTTATTATGATTTTTTTGAAAAACATTTAAATGAAAATAAATACGTTTTCAGTAGTGTTTTCATATGTTTTTAATTTATGAGAATTATTTATTTAAATAATAACCTAAAACCACCAAAAAGAGAATGTTTAATCACCAACTTTTTTTTATCTCAACTATTTTACTCTACTTGTTTTTTAAAAAAAATTAAATCTTCCATAACTTTTTAACCTTTGAATATAGGGTAAGGTATTATATACTCATTTTGATAGCAAAGGAGCTGTACTATCACCTCCTAAAATGTTTTACACCTATTTACCTGTCACCCTATAACACTGTCCAACATGGCAGTGCATGTCACATATTGCCATGAACGAAATATTATTTGTCTCCAACCCTTGTTTCTTCTTATAGGTGTTCTCCTAGGGCTGTTCCCTTAATTGTTGAATTGCTGACCCAGTCTAATGATTATGCAATTTGACAGAGGCAAGATCTTGGTTTTCAAACAAAAAAAGGTGTGATTTTTATGCAGAGTATCGAGTAGATAATATGTAAATGAAATTTCGAAAAAAGGTTGGGAGGATGTAGCAAGGAGTCTGCGGGCATCCATATTATAACGATATACGGCGTAATCCGGTTGTCGGACTGACACAAGGTAAAGTGACCCTTGAATTCCCTCACGTCTGATGGATCAATCTTATATCACATTTTATACCCACTTGAATCGAAAATTAACCTTATAGTAAGATCTCAGGGCTGCCAGGCATAACCTATCCTCTAAAAGACAAAACGCGGGGTATTGAGTAGTATTTACATGTACTTTCAATACGGTAGTCGACCGAGTTACCGGCAGCAGGTGGGAATGCTAAGTCAAAATGGGACTAACTCAAACGCCGATGGCTAATTTTTAGATATTCATTGTAAAACATTATTACAAGGTACACACCTCAGCTTTTATCTCATTTGTTACTTTTTAAAATTTTCATTTTTGCTCATACAGGGTCAAAAACGCGAATTGTACTTTTTCTCGAAAATTTCAAAAGCATCTCCCTGTATTTATGTGCAAGTTTGGATTTAAATTTTTATAAGCTTTTTTTTGGTATGAGGTTTTATTCAGATAAAATCTCTAGATTTTGAGTTATTAAGCTTTTAATAGAACAACACACCAAAATTAAGGAAAAAAATCCCATCAACCATGGAAACAAAAGACAAACAGTGGGCTAGTTTCATATTGGCACTAAGAGTACAGATTTGACGTAAAAACTAATAACAATCAGAACATTATAAATCAGCTTCAAGCATAATAGAGAAAAGCAACTACAACAACAACATAAACAAACAGCTATCACTACTCAAGACCTAATCTACAAAAACTGCTTGAAAATATCTCCACCATGTTGAATACACAGCCGTAGCCTTTGGATAAATAACCGCTGCACATCCCTCAGCATGTGTTCTCTTATGTTCAGAAAAGCATCCTTAATCCTTTCCTTCATATTTTCTGGGGTAGATGGTGAATATCTATAAACCTCTTGCTTAATGCAGCCCCATAAAAGGAAGTACATCGGTGTCATATCTGATGATCTAGGAGGCCAAGATATAGGCCCATCACGACACACGATTACGATGCGCAGGTGAGCCGTCATGTTGGAAGTACATATGCATCCGAGTTTGCAGGTTGACATCCTCCAAAAGCAAAGGCAAATGCTCGATCAAGAAATTCAAGTATTCTGTACCTGTAAATCTGTTGTCGAAAAAGGCCCGAGAACTTGTCTGCCAATAACTCCTCCCCAAACATTCAAGCTCCATTTATTTTGGAAATCTATTTGGCTAACCCAGTAAGGGTTTTCCATCGCAATAGTGCATGTTGTGCGTGTTGACAACACCTATGCTGTTAAAAGTTGCCTCATCGCTAAAAAGAACCTTATCCAGGAAAGCAGCGTCTTCACTCACTTTATTGAGCAATATTCTACTAAAATCCATTCGAGCTGCGAGATCCTGAGGACGAAGGACTTGATGCAAGCGTAGGTGATATGGATGGTACCTATGGTTGTGAATAATCCTTTGGACAGAAGTTCTGCATAATATGAGTTTCTGCTTCAATTTGCCGTGTACTTAAATGGGTTTTTTAGGGAATTAGGACGTTCCATAAAAGACGTGCTAATAACCGACAAAATAGCCGTAAAAACCCTTATGCGTCTAGTATCAAAAAAAGTCTATAAAAAACTAAATTCAAACTTGCACAGATATACAGGGTGATGCATTTGAAATTTTTGAGAAAAACCACAATTTGCGTTTTTGTCCACCCTGTATGAGCAAAAATAAAAATTCGAAAAAGTAACAAATAAGATAAAAGCTGAGGGATGTAAGTTTTTTTTTGATACAAAATTCTGCACTCCAAATTTCAAAATGGTGGACTGAGGGGTTGCCGAAGTGGGAGTTTTTCTAGACAAAACACCTTATATCTCAGTAGCTAATTACCAAACCCCATAGTATGTTATATCAATTCTCTTCTTTTGAATCGGTTTATCCAAATATGCAATAAAGTTTGAGGCATTCCATTTGAAAAATCACAACTTTGATATGTAGGTCGAAATTGAGCACCCTGTATAATGTCCAATATTTTATAAATGTGTCCTCAAATGTCATGTATAACATCTCAGAAATATATTTTCCCAAAATGTATTTGTTTATGAGTAATATTCCATCCACACTTGGATGGGCCACCCTGTATAGAGTCTGTCTTTTTGTTCAATAAGCCAAGCTATTGTACAACACGCACACATTGTATTTGAAGGACCGTTTAAAAAGAGATGAAGTATGAAGGGGCATTGATAATGAAGATGTGTTACGGAGAGGTCGTTGATGAACATTGTATCTAAACATTTGCTTTACACGTAAATAAATTGGAGTTCCAGAGATGGGTAACTTACGTATGAAGGTTAAGGTATAGGTATAGTGTAACGATATGAAACGTGGTAAAATTTTCTTGAACTAAATATGAACCGTATGCAGTTATTTTGTACCACAGATATTCTGTTACGACGCGTAACATCGAAACAGGAATAAACTAGATCTCAATAATTGAAAATCGATAACAAAAGATTCACATAATATTTTTGCACTTTGAAATTCAGCAAATTTCTTAAATGGATATAAGTTCTTTGTGAGAGCTTATTCAAATGTTCGCGAAGCCGCACATTTTCATCAATACACACCTAGGCATCAGACAGTTTCAGTAAAACGAAGATTCTGATTATTATTGATACATATACTTAAAGAAGCTTTGACTGCATCTCTTTTGTGGTTTTAAGAAAACAGCACAGCAGAAGATTTAGAACCAATGATGGTTAGGCTGTTGTTGGCCATCTACCCGAATTAGCAGAAAACCTACAGAATAAAACGTTTCAGAAATACTTACTTACCATCGTCTCTTTATTTAAGAGAACCTTGAACATTTACATACTATATGAGTTTGTTTTGTTACAGAGGGCATTCTCAGCTACAGCATGCCTCAAGGAGTCAAAGTCAATTCAGAATTGGATCTCACCGATCGCACTTATGATGGAGTAGAGGAAATGAGCCACCTGTCAAATGGTTTGGGCCAACTAGTGGATGGGAAGAAAGGAAATGACAATTTCAACCTGGATGTCTCTGGATTTGGTAGAGGTGAGTTTGACCAATGTTATGAATTGTTTACGATAAGGAATGCGCCTGCAAAACTATAAAGATATGGACAATTCTCAAAAAGTTGTTATAGTGTCATTAAGATGCTAACGTAGCAAAGCACGTATTGTAAAACAGATATGGTCTGTCGAGTGGTGAAACTATGTATGTATGATGGACGGATAGTTGACTTAATATGAAAGTCCCATGAACCGCTGCAAGCGCACTTTGCTTAAAATTTTCACGTTGTGGCTGGAAGTGGAAACAATGCTCCCTCAATATTTTCCATTTAGCCGTTCGATAACCAAACACTCTAACAAGGTGCATACGTTTTTCCAATCTCTTAAAAATGGACGCAGTCGAATGTTCGCTTGCCTGGACCACCTGCCTTACCACATCGACTGCGCTCTCGCCATCAGCGTTACGTCAGAATTGTGCTGCTTTATTTTGTGAACATCTAGGAAAATTAGTCATAAACCGTTGAATAATAGGTTGGTCAGTATCTCCATTGTCAGTCATTTATCATTCTCTAATATGAAGAAAACGTTTTAGATGAGTCCACCGTGGCTGCATGTCCAAAGTGTCAGTCTAAACTGGAGAAAGCCGTAGGCTTAATCCGCTAGTGACGTATCAAGCGTTCTAAAGATGTCCGGTGTCCCTCAAAAAGTATATTTTTCTCCGTTGATAAATATAAGTGATGCTAAAATGTACGCCATTGGTAACTAGCTCCGTCAACAACGCCAGCAGCAAAAGAACCTTTCTTGGCAATTTTCCGTTCTCCATTGCTTTCATCCATTAATTGATTACTCCTGAGACCTGTCTTGCACCGGTTCGTCTGCTTGCGCCTCTCTGCAGTATTGAAAACTGTATAAATCTGCAGGTCTGCATCTGATACCAATAGGTATTTTGGTTGAAGCTAACCGGCTTCCTCAGAAAATCAATGTTTATAGGCCGGGAATGTATGTATTTCGCAATTTCTTACGTTAACAGATACTAATTTTGGCATTCGTAAGGTTACAGGTACGGTTAGACCGAGAGAAAGGTCTCGGTGGAGGAAAACTGGGGCACAGCACGTTTCTCTCATAGCAGAGAGTTTCAAATTCTACTGATTTTTCTGCAGATCTTGGGAACCTATCCGGTGAAGTACGAAGAGATCTGACGAAATCCAGGAAATCTGAAGAGATCTCTGGATCTCATATATTTTCAAGGGGATCCAAGGATTTTGAACGAGATCCAAAGATAAGAGAGAAAGAGCGAAAGAAGGGAAATCTCAGTGAAGAAGGCCTTTTGTTCCACAAAAGTGTCAGCGGGTACTCCAAACTGGTATATCTTCAACCACTAAAAATCAAAATCTTGCAAATGACTCATTCCTGTTTGAGCAAATTCCCTAGGACATGATTGAGTATGAGAGGCTGAATGTGCCAAGCAACATACCTTCACGGACGATTACCAAAGCTTGACAGGGACAAAGCAGCTACAATTTGTTTCATATAAATCCCATGAAGCATATAAATGATTGCAATTTTGTGGAAGCAATTAACTTTGGAACAAATATTTCCACTTTTGTTGTTTTGTTTATTAACTATGGAAGTGTAACGCTCCTCAATACACTCATTCTAATGAAGGATCAGCAGTTCTGCTTTACTGTGCATTCCGGTTTTGCTTACACAATTATTTATAACCTTTCCAGTTAGGTTAGTTACACCCAATATCAATTCAATATTTCATCTACACCGACGATGAATATTCATACTGGTATTCCTGAAAGTTCCACTACATTTTCGTTGTACAATAAGTAAAAACACGCGTCCCTGATGACGATCTGTCAACAGTGACACGCTGGAGAAATTTTAATCGAGCACCGTTGCACCCTCGCTACACGAAGCCCCTCAGGGAGCATAAAGAACGTCACATCGAGTATAATACAAAGAGCTGTCTACTGCCAATTTGTTTATCGAACAAATTCAATAACTCATTAAGCTCTTTCTTTGTATTGTAGCCGCTTGTCCGTTACCCTTTGACGGTGTGCGTGATCAAACAGGAGTTACTTGTGTATTTGCTCGCCATACCAGACACTTATTCGCAAAAAAAGCCTGATGGAATTCCTATAACAGAGGAGAGAGTTTGGAACTCTTCAAAAATTGCACACTAAACTCCTCCCTCCACCTCTACTTCTACATGTCCATTTTGGGTTGTACTCGACTTTTTGGTCACGATCGCTGCCTGGCAGATACATGTTCGTAATGTGACAAGCAATGTCGTTATGCCAAAAACATTAATATTATCATTACATACAAACGGTGGTGCAATTTACATTTGGACTGTCAACGAGTACGGACTATTTAAAACGAATAACTACATAGCCTGACCCACATGGCACTGTTGGGTGTGGCAAATTTTAACACCGCGTGCCAAGCTTTCAAGGTTATATATAAGTTATGATGCAGAAAAGGATGCACGTGGAAGAAGAAAATGCTGAGGAAAGCATCCTTACCGAGATGATAAATAGAGGTTCTTGATGCTTTCCAGACCATTCATTCATTAAAGATTACTCGTTTTGTTCGTCATATTGTACATTTATCCATTATAAAATATATCAAGTATATTGTATTGTCTTGTAAAAGTAAAAATAAAGTTTCTTAAAAATCCGAACGGCCATCTCGGCAAAATAACTGGCGCAGTCAGCAGTAGGATAAAACGCAGTTTTCCGAAAATTCGCGGTATCGTGACCGGTTTCGTGAAAACGTGGGTATCGTCCCTTCGGCGTTCGACCTACAGAAACGAACGAGAATCCACAGCCCAAGAGCGAGAACTTGGCCCCTTGCTTCTGCCTGCCGCCTTCCAAGAAGATAGGAGTAGAAGGTAAGAGCCAAAATTCCTTTTCGCCCCATTCAAATTGATTTCCCTGTATAGGAGATCTTATTTGAAAAGTTGTGATTTTATGTCATTATCAGACATTATCAACGAGTTAAATAACTTAAGAATTAATAATACTGATTCAGAATCAGAATCTGAAGAAATGGCATTCCCAGAAAATAGCTTACAAATGTTACGCATGTTTGTAGATACAATACTAAATTTTGATGGTAATTTCAATACACTACCAAGCTTCATTTCATCATGTGATTATCCGTTCGACACATTCAACACTTCTGAAAAAACGATTAAGAGATACTTATTGAGAGTGGTACAGACTAAATCAGTTGGTAGGGCTCAACTTTTAGTTGGCTGTAGAACAGAATTAAATAGCAGGTCTTTAATAAAAAATGCTTTAGAGCAGTGTTTTGGTGATAATAGAAGTTTAGAATGCTTGGAACAAGATCTATTTCTGGCCTCACCAAATAGAAATGAGTCACCCTTAGATTTTGGAAAAAGACTTCAAATTTTAAGGAGTACTCTTGCACAGAGATTGAGTATTTCAGACTCAACGCCCGAAGTAAAAGTGGCAATGATGAAGCAGTACGACGGTATCTGTTTGAGAGCTTTTGTGCGCGGATTATCAGGACCTTTACAAACGGTTATTCGTTTGAAAAATCCTTCATCTCTAGACGAAGCAATGGCATATATTATTGAGGAAGAAAATTTCCAGTATACGCAAAACATTTTCAAATTCCCAAATCACTCAAAGACTCCATGTAGTAACACACAAAATTCATATTCCAAACCACAGACAAAGTTTGGACATTCAAATAACAATTACCGTAATCAGGCACCAAATCAGAATTTTCATTATCAAAAATTTCAAGCTCCTCATCAGTCGAATTTTCAACAAAGTTATCGACCTCCACAAACTTTTCCAGCTGACAGAAACCGGAATAATTTCCCAAGTCAGCCGATAAACATCCAAAGTCGAAATAATAATTTTCAAAAACGCTATCCAACAAATCAAGAAGTTTTCGGACCACTCAGAAACACGAACGTCTTCAAGCCCAGGGGAACAGTACCGCATAATTCCCCACAGCCTATGTCAGTTTCAACCAGAAATACTTATAAACCGAACTATCCCCAAAGGCAAAATCATTTCCAGCCCTCGGGACCCAGAAATTTCATTGCGGAAGAACTATATCAAATAGATGACACTCAAAACGACGAAAGATACAAAACAACGACCATTCGACCTTATAAATGGCCGCTTAGATGTCCTAGATCCATTTGACCTTTCAGATGAAATCATTGTTAGCCAATTCATTGATGATAGACGTGAAAGACTAAAATTCATTTACAACAATATACACCAAGCAACAGTCGCTCATAAAAAGAATATTATAGAAAAGCGTAATAAAACTAGAGAAGATCCATCCAAATTCCCCCAAGGTTCGAAAGCATATGTCAAAGATAAAACCGCTTCTTGGAGTAAATTAAAACCAAGATTCACAAAAACTGAAGTTAAGAAAGATTTAGGTACAAAACTACGGACTATCAATAAACGCAAAGGTTTAATACACAAATCTCAAATTCAAAAACCTAAAGCTTATTCTTCTTTTCCGCAGGATCATGAATCTGGAAATCAAGAAGGTTCCGATAGTCATTCTATCCCTTCTACTAGTCGCGACAACCAAAGCCAACAATGACGCAGTTGTCACACCCTTAAAAGCCCCGCTTTTCCCTTATTCGCTAGGTAACGCTAGTATTATAGAATCGTATCATACTTTTATTCACTTTGTAGAAACTACTTCATTAACAAGGCAGATTACGAATATCCAAAATTATTACGAAAAACTCCAAAATACTCTCAAGCCTTTAAATGCTGATCATTCAGACTTGCACTTTGGATTATCAAATCTCCTTAAGCATACGAAATCTCTGATACAAGAAGCTACAAAAAAATTAGATAACATTGTTCCACGTATTCGTCAGAAACGAGGATTGATTAATCTCGTAGGAAAAACTTCAAAGTTTCTTTTTGGTACAATGGACTCAGATGACGAAATCAAAATTAATAATGCACTCCATGAATTACAAAAGAACGCAAATTCTGTGCATAGTCAACTAAAACTTCAGACCTCACTAACTAAAGAATTGATAGATAATTACAATTCTACAATTTCATTATTAAGCTCTAATCAGGTACAGATCAAAACGAAATTGTATCATCTGCAAAATGCAATGAATGGAACTGTAGGAAGCTTGACAGCTTATCTTCACGCTGAAAATATTTTACAGCAACTTAATCTAAATGGTCAAAATTTGATTACATTTTTAGACAATTTGGAGGACGCTATAATGTTTTCAAAATTGAACACTTTACATAGTTCTATCATATCAGTTTCAGACTTCAGAAAAACATAAAGTATTTAGTAAAATTATATGGTAAAAAGAAAGTACCAAACTTTCAAAATTTACAATCATACTATTTAGTAGCTGATCCACAAATTACATTTACTGATAATAAAATAATCTTGTTTTCTATAAGATTTCCTATATTATCTGATGAAAAATTCCAATTTTTCCGCCTATACCCAGTTCCAATTAGAAATTCAACCATTATTCCAACCCATCCCTCTTTGGCTCTTGGAACAAGTCATCAACAATTTGAAGAAGAAGAATGTCCAGAAATTGAAAACGTCTACTTCTGCAAGAATCGACAAGAACCCATTCCAGGTTGTCTAAACGAGTTAATGAAGAAAGCAGAATTTTCAAAATGCCAATTCATAAGGTTACAAGTATCCAGTCCTATTGTTGAAGCAATATCAGCAAAACACATTTTGGTCATACCCGCTGATCAGCCGATCACAGCAGTCAAGTTGTGTGGTACTCAACAACCACTTATTTTAGAAACGCCAAGTTCAGTTGAAATACCCGAAAATTGTGGAATACAAATCAACTCATCCAAGTTTTGGAACAAAAAGGATCAAGTCAAAGGAAACCCTTTGGTCCTTACAGAAATAAAGTTTTGGAATGCAAGATCGAACTTTGTATCCAAGAAAGCTTTAATCCTCAAGACTATTGACCTCAGCAAGATTAAGGAAATGCAAGAGAAAGCAAATTTTCTTCAAATGCAAGAAGAAGCCGCTATTGATCCCTTAATTTGGTTTTCTAGCAGCTCAGTTTTTACTATTTTCTGCTTGTTACAGTAGCAGTAATCTTTTGGTATATTTGGAAAAAACAAATCCAGAAGAAAAATGACCTACCCCAAGACAAGAAAGATGAAGAAAATCCTGAATCCAGTGAAGAAAGGCCCAAGAAAGATGCAACAAGAACAAAACCTACTGAAAACAGAAAACGTTCCTATTCAGTTGTCAGACTAGGTGGGGAGGAGTTATGATGCAGAAAAGGATGCACGTGGAAGAAGAAAATGCTGAGGAAACCATCCTTACCGAGATGATAAATAGAGGTTCTTGATGCTTTCCAGACCATTCATTCATTAATTCATTCATTAAAGATTACTCGTTTTGTTCGTCATATTGTACATGTATCCATTATAAAATATATCAAGTATATTGTATTGTCTTGTAAAAGTAAAAATAAAGT